TAACTGGCCACTCAGTCCCAGAAGGATGAGGCATAGACAATACATGCTAACCTAGCCAGTGGCTCCCACTTCCCATGAAAACAAAATTGAATTCATGTTATTTCCATGTACCATTTTTGGGGCCTACATGCAAATTTCGATTTTTTGCACATAGTCTAAATTTGCTGAGTGGCAAGAAGGGAAACGTTCTGTCCAATTGACTGAATGGGAAGGGATCTCCTGTCATTTTCATGGCCAGGCCTAATAATAAATGCTATTAGCTGTTTCGCTACACTCACTGTGCTCCTTAAAGACAGCCTCCAATTCCTTATGGGGGAAAGCACTTCTCAGTCCTAGATAACAGCCTGCAATATACTGGAAGATTAGGCTCCATGAATTTAGCAGGAGCTCCTGTTTCTCTGATGCTGTCGTGGATGTGCTCATACAGCAAGTTAGCAGCAGAAAGGAGGCCTTCATCATTGCCCTTAGATGCAGGTTGTTGTGTTATTTATAGTGCATAAGGAGGCCGTTCACCCCATTGAGTCCATGCTGTTTCTCCACAGACCAATCCAGTCAGTCATGCAACTTGATGAGCAGCAAGTTCCAGATCATTTCCACTCGCTGTGTGATAAAACTTTTCCTCACATTCACCTGCCTTTCTTACCCAAAGTCTTCGACCTGTATCCCTGAGACATTGTAGCATCAGGAAATGGGAAGAATTTTCACTTGTCTGCTGTATCTAAGCTGAAATAACTTATTCAGCAGCAACAGGGAGATAGCAGTGCAGGTACCATCTGCAAGCTATTTGGCCCATTGAGTCTGTGCTAATCCTCTGATGAACAGTTCATCCTTTGCCTCTACAGATAATGACTCGATTTCCTTTTGAAAGTCACAATTGACCCTGTTTCTACAACAATCTCAGGCAGTGCATTCCAAATCCTAACCACTTACTGTGTGAAAATGATTTATATATTACCAAATCTTCTTTTTCCAATTACCTTGAATTTGCGTCCTCTTGTTCTTGATTCTTCCACGAATAGGAACATTTTTTCTACATCATCTTTATCCAGACCCTTCATAATTTTGAATACCTTTGTCAAATTTCCTCTATCTTCTCTTCTCCAAGGACAATATTCCCAACTATTTCACTCTTTCTAGGTAACTGAACCTCCTCATCCTTGGAACCATTTTTATGAATCTATCCTGCATCACCTCTAAAGCCTTCACATCCTTCCTAAATGGTGGTGCTCAAAACCAAATAGAATGTTCAGTTTGACTCCGAACCTTTGTTATGTACGGAATCAAAGTAATTCTCTTGCTTCTGCGCTGTATGCTTCTATAATACGCAGGATACCATATGCTTTATTAATTGTTCTGTCAAGACGACCTGCCACCATAAATGATTTATGCACATAAACATTCAGTCTTTCAGCTCCTGCATCCCTTTATTTATTATTGTCTCTCCTGTTCCTCTATGAATCACTTCACATTTTTCACCCCATTGTCTGCCCATTCCATTTTTCTATGTCCTTTTGAAGTTCTGCACTATTCTCTTCATAGTCACAACACTTCCAAGTTGCCTATCATTTGTAAATTTTGAAATTATGCTCTATACATTTAGGTTGAGGTTATCAATAAATATAAGGGATGCTAACATCAGTCCCTGGGGATTTCCGTTATTAACTTTCTTCCAGTACAAAAAATCCACAGTTCATCACTTTTTATCTGACACCGAACCAATTCCATGCTGCCACTGTTGCTTTTACTACATGAATTTTAATATTGCTCGCAGGTCTGTTGCATGACACTTCATCAAATGTCTTTTGGAAGACCTTGTATACCACATCAACATCATTACTCTTATCCATCTCTGTTGCCTCATAAAAAAAAACTCAAGCAAGTTAATTATGAATGATTAGCCCAGAACAAATTTTCTGAAGAGTTGTATTTAACTCTAATTTTCACTTTTTTCCATCAATGCTACCAGATCTGCTGTGTATATCTAGCATTTGATTTTATTTTAGACATGCCATCATAGATTTACATCGGTGGCCACAGAAATGCCTGGCTGTTCTCCAAACATGTTTAACCTCACCAGGACTTCAAGGTAGGAAACCCGTTTGCAAATCTCTCACCTTCAACATAGTCTTACATGACTATACTTAAATCCCAGCAGTATCAGTCCTCCTTGTCCTTATGCTTAGTACCCAACCAGAATAAGACATTTCTCTGCAGCTACTTCTGTTTGTATCTATATCCTCAAATCCTACCACTGCCTCCATAACTATTTCCCATTCCTAGTGACATTTAGTATTTATTTCTCTCATCATGCAGGAGATAATCAGCTGTCTCTGACACCCTGAAAGCTCTTCAGAAGTAGCAATAAACCCAGTACCAGGGACAGTTGTTTAATTGGAATTGCTCTCCCTCAGGATTAGAGAGTCTTAGGACCCTCATGACCCTTTGAAACCAATCTGGTATCAGAAAGACAGCTGAATTGACTGCTTCAGCTGCTAATGATATACAACACACCACAGAGAGGCCTTCTTTAGCTCAAGCTTTTAGAGATCACCAGATCCCTTGACTGTGCTTCAGAAGCCTTTAGCCGCTGGAGAAGCATCTTATAGAACATTGCAGTAGGTCCAATAACTCTCAGGACAGGGACTGGGAGATAATTAATGAGCAGGCATTTGTTCAGTGCATGGAAATGATACCTATTTCTGAAATCATTGTGCTGGAAGCGTAGCTGGTAACATTGGCCTTTGAACAGATGCACATTATTTAGATTGTAGGATCTGGGAGATCTGGGAGCTGAGGATTAATACAGGGATTCGGGACATTTCAGGTGGTGTACCCTTCAACAATCATTTGTCGAAAGTTCTGTCTGTAGGATGATGCTGTAGCTGTCTCATTTTCTCAACATCCTGTACAGGATCAAGTGCTTTCATTTATCATGCTGAAGGCTGTTATTCAAAAACTATGTCTTTTATCAACATTTTTGGACATTTGCGACACACCTCTACGGCCATCACATCCTAAGACCTTCTAGGCTCAAGGGAGGAACTCTATCACAACACAAGATAACTTAAGGGTCTTATTTAATGGTGGCTCCATACGTTATTGCTTTTGCTCAGCAAAGTTATGTAGTCTGCAAAAAAACCCATCATTATGCATGTCGGAATGCCCTTTGTGGTTTGTACAGATTAGAAGGTACAGGAGTAGACATATACAGGAATTGTTTTTATTTCAATCATGGGACATGAGTATCACTAGCAAGACGAGCATTTATTACATATCCTTAACTGCTTTTCAGCAAATGAGAATGGACCAGAAGTGCTGTTGGGAAGGGAATTCCAGTTTCAAGTCAGGATGGTTTGTAGCCTGGAGGGGAAACGTAGGTGATGGTGTTCCCATAGATCTGCAGATCTTGCTCTTCTAGGAAGTAGAGGTCACGAGTTTGTTAGGTGTGTCAAAGGAAGTTTGACGAGTTGAAACATTGCGTCTTGTATATGGTATACACTGCGGCCACAGTCCACCAGCGGTGAGGGACTGAATGTTTACAGTGGTGGATGGATGCCAAGTAAGCAAACTGGTTTGTCCTCCGGATGGTGTCAAACGTCTTCAGTGTGGATTGTGCTGAACCCATCCAGGCAAATGGAGAGTATTCTATCACACTCCTGACTTGTGCCCTGTGGATGGTGGACAGGCTTTAGGGAGTCAGGAGGCGAGAGACTTGCTGCTGAATTTCTGGGCTCTGACCTGTTTTATTAACCACAATTTTTCTGGCTGGACCAGTTAAATTTCAGATCAATGATAACCCCTAACATGTTGATACTGGAGGATTCAGCAATGATAATGCCATTGAATGTCAAAGGTAGCAGGTTAAGTTGTCACTTGTTGGAAATCGTCAATGCCTGGCACTTCCATGATGTCAATATTACTTGTCAGTTACTTAGCCTAAGTCTGAATGTTGTCCAAGTTTTGATTCAAGTGAGAAGTCACATGACACTAGGTTATGGTCCAATGGGTTTGTTTGAAATCACAAGCTTTCGAAGCTTTGTCAGATGAAGTGGCTCCACCTGATGAAGAAGCAGTGCTCCAAATGCTTGTGATTTCAAATAAACCTGTTGGACTATAACCTGGTGTCGTGTGACTTCTGACTTTGTCCATCCCAGTCCAACACCGGCACCTCCACATCTTGATTCAAGTGGACATGGGCTGCTTTAGCAAATGCAAATGAACTTGTGCAATTGATGCTACACTTGCTCAAATACTGTCTTGACATTACGGGTAGCAGATGTCACTTCCCCTCTAGAATTCAACTCTCTTGTCCTTACTTGGACTAAGGTGAATGACCCTGGCACAGCCCAAACTGAGCAATGGTGAGCAGGCTGTTGCTGTGTAAGTATATCATTTGATAGCACGGTCAATAACACAGTCTGCCACTTTACTAATGACCAAGAGCTGACTTCTTGGGAGGTAATAAACTGGATTGGAGTTTTCCTGTCTTTTGTGGTTAGAGCATAAATGGGCAATTTTTAAAATAGATGTCACTATTGTAGCTGTACCAGAACAGCTTGGCTAGGGGTGTAGTTAGTTATGGGCACAATCTTCAGTACCACTATCCAATTTTGTCAAGGACCATAGCCTTTGCAGTATCTATAATGCACAGCCATTTCCTGATATCACAGAGTGAATCAAATTAACTGAAGACTGACCTTGGACAACTAATGATTGTTACAAATGCATTGGCCTCACTTTTTGCTCCTGTCACTTGTCCTTGCTATTTGATGGGCTTCCCTGTGATTGACAACGGAGGTAATTGTAGAGCCTCCTCCTTGGGTTAGTAATTAAATTGTCACCACAATTCATGACAGACATGGCAGGACTATGGAGATATGGTCTGACCTGTTGGACACTTAGCTCTTGTCTTTCACAAGACAAGCTGGAAAGTACCAAATGAGGATGACACTAAGCAAAAACCAAAAACTTTAATCTGAAATGTAAGTTTTAAAACTTACCTTCCATAATAGTAACTGGATTTTCAACCTTTGGTCGCAGAATGTTTGGACCAAACACTGTTCCCAGATTCTGAACACTCATTTTGTTGATGTCTGAATAAGACTGGACCTCATCCAGGAACCTGTGAAAGATTAAGTAATCAATCAGTTTTTTCCCAGAGTCAATCAGTGTTAATTACTTCCTGTTGCTTGTCACATGCATTGTTTCTCTGACAAATGAAAAAGACCGTGTTCAAATGTTGTAGTGCTGTGTTGTATTCTCTATTTACACGAAGTGCACCATCTACACTGCCAGATACAGAGGAGCTGTTTCAACCTTAGCATAAAGCACTGTCTTCAACCTAACTACCAGTTATCAGGGATCCTAACTTTATATGAGTAATTATTACTTTGTAGTTGACTTTCCAGTGATAGCCTCCTCTGGTCACTAACTTTAGCAGAACCCCCAGTGAAACATCCGAAAAAGAAGTGATCTTCCTGGAGTTTTCATAGATCTTTTGCCAAAATGGGAAAACTCCCATCAACAATCAAATACTTGTAATTTTTCTAGAATGTAGTTTTATTGAACAGCATTGACATAAACAACTGTGAATTTCTAACGTTGACTAATTGTAACTTCATGCGTTAGAGTGGATAAGGGACTTAAATAATATTACTTAGTAGGTACAATTGTTTATTGCATCTGATAAAGGACAAGAATTCAAATGCTATCATTAAAAGTTATGGAATTGAACTTTATAAATATAGTCATTTGGAAGTTGATACCAAGAAAAATTGTTGACAGCATTTGCCAGACAATCACAGAAACTCAAATAGTTCACCAATGGCCTTTAGGAAACGAAACTGGCCTCTCCTATCCCGTCTGGCTTACAGGTGACGTTGGTATTACGTCACTGTGGTCAGCTCTTTATCCTCTGAAGTGTCTCAATAAATTTTTCAGTTCTAAATTTAAAACTGAGTAGCAATTCAAACATAACATATGATCACCGCCAGCAACTTTTCAAGTGAATTAAGGTTCGACAACATTGACTGTTTCTGATGATATTAAGGCAATGTTCCTGCATGATAGATCTGAGTGCTGTGGGACGCAAGGGAGGAAAGCAGCTCTGACATTCACTTTCAAATCCTTTCTGCCAACAGGAGGGGTGCCAGAGGACTGAAGGACAGCTAACGTCGTACTATTATTCAAGAACAATGACACATATAAACCAGGCCAGTGAATCCGACATAATGGAAAGCTGACGTTTTGGGTCGAGACCCTTCTTCAGAAGTGGGGAAGGGGAAGGGGATTCTGAAAAAAATAGGGAGAGAGTGGGAGGCGGATAGAAGATGGATAATGGAGAAGATAGGTGGAGAGGAAACAGACAGGTCAAAGAGGCGGGGTTCAAGCCAGTAAAGGTGAGTGCAGGTGGGGAGTTACGGAGGGGACAGGTCGGTCCAGGGAGGACGGACAGGTCAAGGAGGGGGGATGAGGTTAGTGGGTAGGAGATGGGGATGGGGCTTGAGGTGGGAGGAATGGTTAGGGAGGCGGGGACGAGCTGGGCTGGTTTTGGGATGCGGTAGGGGGAGGGAAGATTTTGAAGCTTGTGAAGTCCACATTGATACTCCACAGCTACCTAGAATACATGTCCTCTCACCGAACTTCCTGCAAAAATGCCATCCCCCATTCCCAATTCCTTCGCCTCCGCCGCATCTGCTCCCGAGATGAGGCATTCCACTCCCGGACATCCCAGATGTCCTTGCTTTTCAAGGACCGCAACTTCCCCTCCACAGTGGTCGAAAATGCCCTTGACCGTGTCTCTCGCATTTCCTGCAACTCATCCCTCACACCCGCTACCCGCAATAATAACCAAAACAGAATCCCCCTCATCCTCACGTACCACCCCACCAACCTCCGAATCCAAAGCATTATCCTCCGACACTTCCGCCATCTGCAATCTGACCCCACTACCAAAGACATTTTTCCCCTCCCCACCCTTATCTGCTTTCCGGAGGGACCACTCTCTCCGTGATTGCCTTGTCCGCTCCACATTCCCCTCCAGCACCACCACACCCGGCACTTTTCCCTGCAACCGCAGGAAGTGCTACACCTGCCCCTACACCTCCCCCCTCACCCCCATCCCAGGCCCCAAGAAGACCTTCCACATCAAACAGATGTTCACCTACACATCTGCCAATGTGTATACTGTATCCGCTGTTCCCGTTGTGGCCTCTTCTACATCGGGGAAAGCAAACGGAGGCTTGGGGACCGCTTTGCGGAACACCTACGCTCGGTTCGCAATAAACAACTGCACCTCCCAGTCGCGAACCATTTCAACTCCTCCTCTCACTCCTTGGAGGACATGTCCATCCTGGGCCTCCTGCATTGCCACAATGATGCGACCCGAAAGCTGCAGGAACAGCATCTCATATTTCGCTTGGGAACCCTGCAGCCCAAGGGTATCAATGTGGACTTCACAAGCTTCAAAATCTTCCCTCCCCCTACTGCATCCCAAAACCAGCCCAGCTTGTCCCCACCTCCCTAACCATTCCTCCCACCTCAAGCCCCACCCCCATCTCCTACCCACTAACCTCATCCCACCTCCTTGACCTGTCCGTCCTCCCTGGACCGACCTATCCCCTCCCTAACTCCCCACCTACATTCACCTTTACTGGCTCGAACTGCGCCTCTTTGACCTGTCTATTTCCTCTCCACCTATCTTCTCCTTTATCCATCTTCTATCCGCCTCCCCCTCTCTCCCTATTTATTTCAGAATCCCCTTCCCCTTCCCCATTTCTGAAGAAAGGTCTCGACCTGAAACGTCAGCCTTCCTGCTCCTCTGATGCTGCTTGGCCTGCTGTGTTCATCCAGCTCTACACCTTGTTATCTCAGATTCTCCAGCATCGGCAGTTCCTACTATCTCAGTGAATCTAACATCTGTGGGGGGAAGCTATTGGAAAAACAATGAGGGACAGAATTAATCTCCACTTGGAGAAACAATGATTAATCAAGGATAGTTCTCATGGTTTTGTATGAGTGAGGTAATATCTAACAAATTTGATTGAAATTTTTAAGGAGTGACCCGGCGTGTAGGTGAGGGTAATGCGGTTAATACAATTTACATAGGCTTCAATAAGACTCGTCACAAGGTCTTGCATGGCAGACTTGTTAAGAAGCTAAGGGCCCATGAGATCCAAGAAATTTTTCAAGTTACATCCAAAATTGGCTTAGCGATAGGAAGCAGAGGGTGATGGTTAAAGGTGCTTTTGAGACTGAAAGCCTGTGTCCAAGAGCACGACCCCAGTGAAACCATCCCCAAGGACAACATGCTCAAACTATTGGACCTATGCCTCACCAACCACATCACTTTCAACGGCCAAACATACGAGCAAATCAACGGGACACCCGTGGGATCACCTATCTCCGGACTCATAGCAGAAGCAGTGATGCAAAGACTAGAACGGACTGCTCTTCCGCAAATTCAACCTAAACTATGGATACGCTACGTAGACGACACCTTTGTCATCATTAAACGGACCAAATTAGAGGAGACACACAAACTTATAAAAAACACCCTCACTGGAATAAGATTCACCAGAGAGGAGGAGAAGAACAAACAGCGCAAGACAAATGGGGAACTGCAAACGAAAGTACACCGAAAAGCCACACACACGGACCAGGTACTGAACTTCAACAAACGAAGCAGCGTGCGAACACTATTTAAAAGGGTAACAACACACTGCAGCAACACGGAACTACGCCAAGAGGAAGAAGAATACCTCTTCCAAGTGTTCAAGGATAATGGATATCCAAAAGAATTGGGTCAGAAGATGCCTACACGAACAGCATCAGAAAGAGACTACATGCCCCGACACACTCATCACACTACCCTATATCAGAAACACGTCGGAACTCGCCACAAGACTCCTACGACCACTGGGCATCAGAGTGACACACAAACCCACATCACCCCTACGACAACTGCTCACCTGAACTAAAGACCCACTCCCCGCCATGGACAGGACCAATGTCATCTACAAAATCCCCTGCAGAGACTGCGAGAAACACTACATTGGACAAACAGGAAAGAAACTAACAACAAGAGTACATGAACACCAACTGGCTACAAAAAGACACAACCAATACTCACTCATCTCAATCCACATGGACAAGGAGAACCACCACTTCGACTGGGAGAACACCAAGATCATTGGACAGGCTAGGCAGAGACAGGCACGAGAATTCCTAGAAGCATGGCACTCCATGAAGCATGCTATCAATAAACACATTGAACTCGACCCCATATACATTCCACTATGAAGGAAAACTGGAAGTGAGGCAATCCATCTCAACGGACCCCAGAGTTTAAAAACCAGGCGGGAAAACACACCGATGCTTCAGCGGAGGCTGCACTGAGGACGTTACCAAGCATGGTAACGAAACATCTGCGAAACAAGAAACCAGCTTGGCGAGCCAACCAACCTCAACAACCCCAATTGCATACTACAAACACTGGATGCCTTGTTATTTGTTGTGTACATTAATAAACTAGACATGAAATAGGCAGTATGACCAGTGAGTTTGCAAATGGCATGAAAATTGGTGATTTGATAAAGAGTGATTCAGAAAGCCTTAGACTACAGAACAATATAGATGAGCTGGTCAGATGGTTTGAGCAATGGCAAATGGAATTTAATCCTGAAAAGTGTGAGGTGATACGTTTTGGAAGAACTAACAAAGCAAGGGAGCATATGTTGAATAGTAGAACCTTGGGGAGTATAGAAGAATCAGAGGGACTTTGGTGAGCATGTCCACAGATCCTTGAAGGCAGTGAGACTGGTAGTCTAACCCTACCCCTAACACTATCGCAGTTACAGAAGGTGGTTAAGAAGGCATGAGAGACGCTTGCCTTTATCAGTTAAGACACCGAGTACAAGAGCACAAAGATTGTGATGGAGTTGTATACAATGCTAGTCAGGCCACAACTAGGGTATTGTGAGCAGCTCTGGTCACCGCACTACACGAGGGATGTGACTGCACCAGAGCACTGTGCTGAAGAGGTTCACCAGGATGTTGCCTGAGCTGGAACAATTCAGCGATGAAAATAGGCTAGATACAATTGGAGACTGTTTTCCTTAGAGCAAAGAAGGCCAGTGGGGGCTCTAATTGAGGTCTGCAAAGTTCTGAGGGGCATAGAAAGTGTAGCTAGGAAGAAACTTTCCCCTTAGTAGAGGGGTCAGTGACAAGGGCACAGTTTTAAAGCAAAGAGCAGATGGTTAAGAGGGGACTTGAGGATTTTTTTCCCACTCAGAGGATTGTGGTTATCTGGTTCTTATTGTCTGAAAGAATAGTAAAGGCAGGAACTCTCACATTTAAGAAATATTCAGATGAGCACCTGAAATGTCACAGAAACAATGTAAAAGGCCGAGTGCTGGGAAGTGGCATTAGAATAGATGGATATTTGTTTACTGGGGCAGACATGATGGGCCAAAGGGCTTCTTTCCATGTTGTAAGAACTCCATGACTCTAACTGTATCTATTTGCCATGGCAACAGTCAATTACACCAAACCTTGGAGCAGCCTTGCATGTGCTGCAATGTTCTAAATTTCAGGGAAATCTTTGAATAAAATCTGAGTGGCTTGGTGCATTCTTTTGCTAGGACTGGCTGAATCATGCAGGCTGTGACCATAGAATAGAATCCCTACAGTGTGGAAACAAGCCCTTCAGCCTAACAAGTCCACACTGACCCTCAGAGCATTCCAACCAGACCCATCCCCCAATGACCCACCTAATCTACACATCCCTGAACACTACGGGCAATTTAGCATGGCCAATTCACCTAGCCTGCACATCTTTGGGCTGTGGGAGGAAACCGGAGGAAACCCACACAGACACGGGGAGAATATGCAAACTCCACACAGACAGCCACCCGAGGCTGGAATCAAATACAGGTCCCTGGCACTGTGAGGCAGTAGTGCTAACCACTAAGCCACCGTGCCGCCCTCTAAATTTATCACCTCAATTTGCTCGCTCAGGTAGACCTGGACTTGTGTGATGAAGTGATAAACCAGCTTACCCATGGAGTGCATCAATTTCTAGAAAACTGTGTGGCTTGCCGCTGATCCCAGCACCACCGGATTACTAACCTATATGTGCTAATTTGGTTTCAGTGGAGTAAAAGTCTGAAATAGGTACTTCTGCAGAAAGATGGATGTTGAGCAGGACTGCAATCCCTCCACATTGACCCTGAAGAGTTTACCTGCAGATATACTTTAGTAAGTTGAAGTTGACTGGAGGGAGGGTCTTCACTTGTTTAATCAGCTCCTTCATGCCCTGAAAGACATAATGAAAGGCTGTTAAGAAAACCACTTGAAGTGTCGTCTGAACTTTGGAACAGATATCTAGCATTAAACTTATGCTCTTAGAAACTAGATAAGAGCAGCTACTATATCTCTATTTTACAAACATGGCAGCAATAAAACCTACACATCAGTTCTTCCCATGAATTCCATTTAAACTCCTATCATTGATTACATGGCCCTTCTGTTTTGCTCATCATGATGTTGTGACCAGTCCCCAGGCAAGGTTCCCTAAATTGTTGTGGTTCCAAACACAAAATTCCAAAATGTTATGTTCCTAAGAGAGATAAACTAGCCCCCCCTTCTTTATTCATCCACTCTTCAGTTGGCTGTAACTGGGTTAATTAGAAAGGATCTTTTCACTCATGAATACCATTCCCTTTTTAAAGAGAACCCATTTAACCAGATCTTTCTCCAGTTAAAGAGTGAGTTTATTGGTTATTAAATGCAAGTAGTAATAATGAAACACACTGATTAGAAATGAAAATTGAGTACAAAAAGAGATAAAAATTAAAAGATATACAGATCAATATCTGGGTTGTTCGTGAAGAGTAGATAGAAGGCTGTGGCCATTACTTTGGCCAATACCTGTAGTGTTGAGAGTGGTAGTTGAGCAGTCGATTTCAAAATGCTTGCTGACCAGCTTCCAATGCTCACAGCAAGTGAATGTCTGTTCTATTTACCTGCAGCCAGGAATGTCTAAATGGCTATCCTCAAGCAGTGACCTTCACAGCACACTAACCCACACGGGCATACACACAGACTGGGTTTGCAGCTGGCTTTTAACCCTTTTTATAGCATATTCCTGGGAGAGTAAACCACAAACTATCTGCGGTTTAGGACACAATCCTCGGGAGATGACTTTCTGTTGAGTGGTCAGGTAGTCAGCTCATCGTTATCTATTCTTTTTAAGTCTCTCCGGATCAGGTTTCCCTGATGCTGTGCAAATGTGAAATTCCAGGAGTTCACACAGGGCTTTGCCAGACAGCCATCGAATTTACATTCGCAGTCATCTTTTGGCTATATGTCCTAATATTAGAAAGTATGAAACTGCAAGTTCAATATGTTTATTGGTTATCTGGGTTTTGATCCATTGTTATGGCAATAGCATAGCTTGCTTTTTGTACATTCAAAGCATAATTAAAGTATATGATCTTTTCAATCTATGTAATTGAACTGTTAGACACATTATAGCTATGGAAGGAAAATACAAATGCAAGGGGCAGAGCTTCAGCCTCTTTGGAAGTATTTATTGTAGAATTTTCCCTCAGAATAATGAATGGTGGATTGAGTCCCTTACAGATTAATCTTTAACCTGAGCAGTCTTCATGAGCCAAATAGTTGCTTCTTATTCTGCAGGTTTTCATGTTATTGCAAAGGTGGTAGAGTCTTGAGCGGCTGCAGATGTTAAGGTACATTCAGAGGGATATGAAAGTTATTGTTTCAGTTTAATCAACACTTTCTGCAGTCTGGTGAAAAACTATTCTTATATGAGAAAGTAAATGAAACAAATAAATGTGAAATCTTATATAAAAAATACTTTCATTGCATTTGGGCATTGCAGGTGAGGCCAGCATTGTGTGATATTGGGTTTATGTTAAAATTTTAAAGTATTTCTGTACACATGGGGCCTTTTAAACAATAAAAAAAGCATTTTCTATAATGCATGCCAGAAAGCATTACTGGCTTCCTTTTATGATCCAGGCCTAAAACCTGATAATATCTGAGCAGCACCACTTCTCAACTGCACGACTGAGAAAATTGTGGTACTGTAAATAGTGCAATGGATATCATTTACATGAACATGGCTGCATGAATTAGTCGATCTACAGATTTGTATATGCTCATACGTCTGGAAACAATGAAATAATAGCCAACAAACTGAAAATTATGGATGTTCACAGTCATGACAATCAACACTATTCATCAAAGCCTTTTGTCAAGGAATGGCATTACCTGAAGTTTTACATTTCTACCTTTCAGGATGACTCACCTATAGCATTTTTAGTTTTATTTAACATTTATAGCATTTGCTTTATTTATGTATCTGTTGATCAGTGTTGTTAATAAGGATTGATGATCAGCCAGGCATGGCACTCTTTCAGATACATGCATTCATTTTCATAAATGTCTTAGACATAATATAGGTACATTTACCTCATATGTGTTGGTTTATTTAGCAAGCACCTGCTACAATTCAGCTCAAAACTTTGCAGTGTCTCCCGGGAATTCTGCCATAGATAACACAGAATGGAGCTGGAGGAACACAGCAGGCCAGGCAGCATCAGGGTAGGAGGAAAGTTGACGTTTCGGGTCGGGACCCTTCTTCAGAAATTCTGCCAGATATTTCTGAAATGCAGCATTTCTCACTGTAGTTTCTAGATTTCTGTGCAGCAATAACTTTCCTTAGAGTACTTCTGAAACTGCTGACTCACACAATGCAATTACATGTTACTTGCAGGTTCTTATGATATGCCCTGTTAGAGCAGCTCAATATTGATTGTTTTCTTCCAATAGGTTTGAGTGGTTATTCTGATTGGTTAAATTGACCACAATGTCAGCTTCCCTCTTCATAGAATGACTGAAGATGTTTCCATGGTGCTAAAGCCTAGCATTTATGACTCTTATTTTAGCAGCTATAACCAAGGGAATAAAAAACTCACTGCAATGAACAAAACATACATATTTTGGCATTTTCTTTTACCAACTTAACAACCAATAAATGAAAAAGTTAAATTATACATTCACACACCATGTGAATTAAGATCACATGCTGAAAGATTGTGTCTATCATTTTTTATTTCCAAATCAAAAAAAAATACAATCGTATGGATTTCAATTTGCGGCATGTTGCCAGTAATTCATTTGTTGGACAACATGTTATAGAACACATAGAATTAAAGAACGCACAGACTGAGAGAGAAGATGTCAATACCTAAGCAGCTGTTTAAATTCATAATGTATCCGTAACCTCAAATTTATTGAACTTCAGTCAAACAAGGAGTAAAATTCTTACACTCTCTTGTTCTTTGGTGAAGAGTTTGGCACATGAGAGGAACTCATCATATTTAGCGTAGGGGATGACAGGTTCTGGCAGCTCTCGCAGATAAAGCTTGAGTAATGAGGCCACAGTGTGCACATCCGTATTGCTGAAAGCAAAGCAAATGCAACCGGTCATTACTAAGCAATCGATAATCCCAATTCTGTGCCACCTATAAAATGAATATAATCCTGATCACAAAATCAAAATTCACTAATTTATTTCCACACATTGCATGCTTTGGGTAAACTAGGTAAATGCAAGCCTGGGTCGCTGATAGGGATCTATGCCAGTACACAAAAAAAAAGACTTGCATTACATATTACTTTTCAATGGAAGATTCAAAGACCTGTACATCCAATGAAGTATACCTTAAGTGCAGTGGCTGTTATAATTTAGGAGACACAGCAGCCAATTTGCACTCAGCACAAACAGCAATATGATAATGATGAGACAATCTATTTATGTGATGTTGCTTAAGGAATAACTAGTGGGCAGGGCACCAAGGACAACTCCGCAGCTCTTCCTTCAAAATAATTCTGGCACTGTTTATATCTAATGAAACAAGCAGATGTGGCTTCGGTTTAATATCACATCCGAATGAAAGTGTGGCTCTCCCTCTGTATCGTACCGCAGGGTCAGCCTTCTGTAGTCAGATTCTAAAATGGAAATTATACCTTGAATTACAGAGGCGAGAGTAGTCCCAATTGAGTACACATGACACACATAGGGCAGGAGAGGCACCCTCCACCTCCTCAGATAATAAAAAGCTAATTCCTCCGAATACTGCTTCCATTTTTAACCAAGTCCTCTGATCAGGTCCTGTGTTTCTACTTACATAGTATCACTTGTGGCTTCCTGCATTTGGAAATTTAAATCTATTGAACAAATAGCAACAAAAGTAATTGAACCAATTTGAACAAAGCTGAGGCTTTTTTGACTGGTGTTGTGATCTTAAAAAAAAGAACTGATTTTACATCACAACTATCTGGTGCATATGTGAATCTGGAGATTGAATAATAATTGTGTGGCATTTGCAGTGCGTCCATTAATCCGGTAATTAGTTCTCAGATTTGTCAACGTTACAAAATAGCTGGATGCTTTGGCATTTTGGTTTAAACAGATTGTCCCATGCAGTTAATTAAATTGCTTTAAAACAAAACTCTGCCATTGAATCAGCTGGTTATATTATTCCTCAAAAAAAAAACAACAAAATAGATGGTGCTACATGATAATTCATAGAAACAGGGTCACTGACTGAACATAGAGATAACAAGGTGTAGAGCTGGATGAACACAGCAGGCCAAGCAGCATCAGAGGAGCAGGAATGCTGACGTTTCGGGCCGAGACCCTTCTTCAGAAATGGGGGAGAGGAAGGGGGTTCTGAAATAAATAGGGAGAGAGGGGGAGGCGGATGGAAGATGAATAGATTTTTTTTCTGCTTCAGGGAAAAACAAAACTTAAAGCGTTTGTTTCAGTTCACAGAAATACTGGTTGAAAAGAAAGGAAAGGAATTAGTTCAGAAAAGTTTGAAACTTCCAAATGCAATCCTTTACACTGATGTAACCGGTTTCCTGAGCAGACATATTTGGTTAGAATACTGAAGGGGTTATTCGAAGCTGAGAATGGCTGAGGAACTCATAGAATCATAGAATCCCTACAGTGCAGAAACAGGCCCTTCGGTCCAAAAAAAAATGGATGATAATGGAATAGTGTAGGTTAGATGGGCTTCAGATTGGTTTCACAGGTCGGCGCAACATCGAGGGCCGAAGGGCCTGTACTGCGCTGTAGTGTTCTATGTTCTATGTAGAGGAGAAGATAGGTGGAGAGGAGACAGACAGGTCAAAGAGGCGGGGATGGGGCCAGTAAAGGTGAGTGTAGGTGGGGAGGTAGGGAGGAGATAGGTCAGTACAGGGACGACGGACAGGTCAAGGGGGCGGGATGAGGTTAGTAGGTAGGAGATGGAGGTGGGGCTTGAGTTGGGAGGAGGGGATAGGTGGGAGGAAGGACAGGTTAGGGAGGCGGGGACGAGCTGGGCTGGTTTTGGGATGCGGTAGTGCGAGGGGAGATTTTGAAGCTTGTGAAATCCACATTGATACCATTGGGCTGCAGGGTTCCTTAGCGGAATATGAGTTGCTATTCCTGCAACCTTCGCGTAGCATCGTTGTGGCACTGCAGGAGGCCCAGGATGGACATGTCGTCTGAGGAATGGGAGGGGGAGTTGAAATGGTTCGCGACTGGGAGGTGCAGTTGTTTAGTGCGAACCGAGCGTAGGTGTTCTGCTAAGTGGTCCCCAAGCCTCCGCTTGGTTTCCCCAATGTAGAGGAGGCCACAACGGGTACAGCAGATGCAGTATACCACATTAGCAGATGTGCAGGTGAACATCTGCTGATGTGGAAAGTCTTCTTGGGGCCTGGGATGGGGGTGAGGGAGGAGGTGTAGGGACAGGTGTAGCATTTCCTGTGGTTGCAGGGAAAAGTGCCGGGTGTGGTGGGGCTGGAGGGGAGTGTGGAGCGGACAAGGGAGTCCCGGAGAGAGTGGTCCCTCCGGAAAGCAGATAAGGGTGGGGAGGGAGAAATGTCTTTTGTGGTCGGGTCAGATTGCAGATGGCGGAAGTGTCGGAGGATGATGCGTTGGATCTGGAGGTTGGTGGGGTGGTACGTGAGGACGAGGGGGATTCTGTTTTGGTTGTTATTGCGGGGAGGGGATGTGAGGGATGAGTTGCGGGAAATGCGGGAGACATGGTCAAGGGTGTTCTTGACCACTGAGGGGGGGAAGTTATGGTCCTTGAAAAGCAAGGACATCTGAGATGTACGGGAGTGGAATGCCTCATCCTGGGAGCAGACGCGGTGGAGGCAAAGGAATTGGGAATAGGGGATGACATTTTTGCAGGAAGGTGGGTGGGAGGAGGTGTATTTTAGGTAGCTGTGGGAGTTGGTGGGCTTGAAATGGATATCGGTTTCTAGGTGGTTGCCAGAGATTGACTGAACAACCTGTCTTGTTCTTTGCTGCCCCAAGCTCAAATAGAATGAAAAGGCAAGTGATTGTTAGATTAGCTACAGGGTAACAACAAACTGATCTCAAAGTAGCAAGGGTCCCTCTTAGAAGTATAATTAAAAATGATGGAGTTAGATTCCTTGCCCTCAGGGAATTAATCCAACTGATTCATTGCTGAATGCATTTACCGAGTCAAAATTTACCTCACAGAAAAATAGATCAAATCATTGTGCAGATTCCAAGTTTTATTGCAGTTCAGAGGTTGTCCCGGCTGATCAATCTCTTAAATTATCTGACAAAGGACCAGGTTTTCCTGCAGACTTGGAAACTGTGACCTGCTTGCTTTTCCACCATCAAAAATGTGCACGTGACCAATGCATAACTTTACCCAGACATTTGTTTTTTCACACAGGATTGAGTTTGAAATGGACTTTGTGAGATGCGATGGATTGTGTGAAGCCAGTTAGCAGGCCCACTTGAGTTTCTTTAGACAGCAGCCCAGTTTCCAAGACCAGGTAAAGGTCCCAAACTCATCCTTCATTGCACCTCAGGTTACCCATGATACTCTATGCCCAGCTTGCCAGTGCTACTGCATGGACTCTCAGGTAACCCATGCCACTTGCATGCCACCCCAACATTCCTCAGAATGCCCATGCTGCCATCAACTCCTCTATGCCACCTCAGATCCCCATACAACCTTCATGTTCCCTCATGTATCCTGACAGAATCACTCAAACCAGTATGCATTATGTACCCTCCTCAGAACAGAGTCAAACGTAACCGGGTTTGTTTAAATCATTGAAAAATATTAAAAATATTAAATCTCTAATTATCTAATAAGCCTTGAATTCAAACACATTGTTATTGATACTAGAAGAAACATAACTGCTTAAATGATTAAATATTTCTTGAACTGAAGTGCCAAATAGGTTTATAAACAAACAGAAAATCATACCAAATGCAAATTCTGTTCTTACAGCCATTTCAAAGACTCAACTGTTCTTAGATCAACAAGATCACCTGATGAGCTAAAGCCACCATAGCTTTTGAAACACACCCAAGCGTTCATAATGGCTACAGCTGCCACATTACCTGAAACGGTCAGAACAGAAAGGTGTCCCATCTCCATTTCAAAGTGGAGTGCTTGTCAATCAATAGAGAGGAGTAGGCAGAACTTTTTTTCAACTTCCAAATACAGTTTTTTTTTGGAAACAAAAACCTCAGGCACATCAATCCATCAATCAATTTAGTGCAAAATACATCACACGACAACAGAGGCTCATGGGCTTTTAAATTTTTTTAATGCATTGTGGCATTTTCTTCAATGGAAAAGTGCTATCATAAGTGTGAACAGTTACATAATGGTGGTCCATGTCAGAGTTAACTTGCAGAAAAGATGCCCAGGAAGAATCACGTAATCAAAAATGCACCTACATTATAATATAGCAGCTAGTAATGTTGTTTGAAGGTGTTGAAAACATTTCACATTTACCCTTCAGAATGTTCCCAACTCTTCCAGGCATTCTCCCAAAGGGGGACTCTCCAAAGAGGTGTTTTTTGTGATTGCCAAAACTCTCAAAAGCATTCAAAAGTTCTATACAGGAGGAAATTCAATTTTCCTGGGTTCTCACACTGAAAAGAGTGTGTGTTTTGCACACTGGGCTCTCTTGAACCATTAAAAGGCTACACAAAATAATGTGTGGTGGGGAAGGCAGAGAAAAATTGTTTTCCAGGAAAAACAAACTAAGCCGAGCATTTCATGACCTGATTTGCACCTCCAGTTGTTTCTGAAAATCCAGCCTACACAAAGTCCTATTAGAAAATATTAGTTTCAAACAGCACAAAACCTAGCACTATCTGAACTCTGTTAGCCTAGAGTGTTTCAGTTTGATTTTCTTTTCTTTACAAAATCTTAGAACCTTAGGATTATGGAATGGTTACAGTAAGGACACAGGCCATTCAGTCTGTCAAGTCTGTGATGGTCCTCTGTAAGAGCTACGAAGCCAGTTCCATCCTTGACTTTCTTTTCTTCCAATGCTTATTCAATTCCCTTTTGAAACCTCCAGTTGAATCTGCCTCCACCACACTTGCAAGAAGTTTATTCCAAACCCT